GTGAAGCAGGGGCCTATCTACGGAAAATAGTGCCTATGGCAATTAGTTCTAAATTGCTGAATGATCTCTCATAGCTGGCCATGGAAACTGCGAAGGCCAATAGGAACTGCTCATTAGAGTCCCTCCTGCCATACCTTAGTTACGCCTCTGTGTTAAGTCTACCCTGACTACATGATTTAACATTGTAACCCTTCTTCCCCAGCACTCCTGATCCCCCTTACCTGCCCTATTTTTTCCATAGCACTTAATACCTTTTAACGTGCTATATAATTCACTCCAGGATGGATCTTGAAATGTTCTTTTTGACCATGAACGTGACGCCATTCCTCCTTAATTTGTCATTCCTGACATAGTAGACCATATGATTGTCTGGTTCAAAATGGCCAATACTAGTCCATATCAGCTTACTAATGCCTAGGGTATCGATGTTTATGCATTCCACGTTATTTTTGACGACTTCCAATTTTCCTACATTCATACTTTGTACGTTCCGTGTTCTGATTATTAATGGATGTTTGCAGCTGTTTCTTATCATTTTGAGTCACACCACATCAGCAAATGAAGGTCCCGAAAGCTTGACTCCATCCACGTCATTAAGATCAACTCTACTTTGAGGGAAGCCCTGGTGGCACAGTGGTTAAGCCATCAGCTGCTAACCAAAAGGTCAGCAGTTTGAATCCACTAGCCACTCCTTGGAAACCCTATGGGGCAGTTCTACTCTATCTTATAAGGTCTCTATGAGTCAGAATCGACTCGACAGCAACAGGTTTGCTTCTACTTTGAGGAGGCAGCTCTTCCCCAATCGTATTTTGAGTGCCTTCCAACCAGAAGGGCTCATCTTCCGGCACTGTATCAATGTTTTGCTGCTATTAATAAGGTTTTCACTGGCTAATTTTTTCCGAAGTAGACCACCAGGTCCTTCTTCATAGTCTGTCTTTGTTTGGAAGCTCCACTGAAACCTGTCCACCATGGGTGACCCTGCTGGTATTTGAAATACCAGTGGCATAGCTTCCAGTATTACAGCAACACACAAGCCACCACAGTATGACAAACTGACAGACCATAAAGGTAACAGCCAGGAAAACCCTATGGAGCTCAGTTCTACTCTAACACACGGGTTGCCATGAGTTGGAATCGACTTGAAGGCAGTGGGTTTGGGCTTTTTTCGGTTTGGGTTGTACAAACAGTTAAAACGCTTGGCTGCTAACCAAAAGGTTGATGGTTCTAGTCTACCCAGAGGTTCTCCAAAGAAAGCCCTGTCAAGCTACTTCCAAAAAATCAGCCACTGAAAACCCAGTGGAACACAGTCCTACTCTGACACCCATGGGGTCACCATAAGTCAAATCGACTCAATGGCAACTGGTTACCCTTAATTTCATTTGCTAAGTGTAATAAACTTATTCACAGGTACTGTAATATAGTCACAGGTTCGGGGCATGAGAGCATGGACATCCTTGGGGGCCATCATTCTGCCCACCATGGATAAACTCCTGCCTCCTGGGTTGAGTGAGGATGAAATGAGGAATGAATGACACGATGGTTGTGAGTGTGCTTGGCTGAGAGTAGTCCTCAAACAATGTTTCTTTCCAATTCCCACCTCCATTTGGCTTCTGTGTCCCCTTCCCGTTTCTGGGTCATTTCCCCTACTTCCTGGACTTCTCCGATCCTGAGCACCATCCTCTGTCAAGGTGTGCTTTATCCTACCTTGCATCTCCAGCACTAATACAGAGCTGGCCCCTTCTAGCTGTTCAAGCATTTGACTCTGAAAGGAAGGCCCAGAGCAGAGGGTGGTTGGTTATCCCACAGAATGAAGCTTCAGTGGTGGAATGCCAGACATCTTGCTGGGAGGCAAAAGCAGAGGTTGAGGGAGAACTGCCAGAGTCTCTCCATCCATCCATTGCCTGCTCCCCAAAACTGAGAATCTGCCTCCAGGATTAAGTAAAGACTGAGTAACATGGCCCTGGGGTTAGGATATATTAGTTTCCTATTGCTGCTGTAACAAATTACCTAAATTTAGTGGTTTAAGACAACACAAATTTATTCTCTGGCATTCTGGATGTCTGAAGTCCTAAATGGCTCTGTAGGGCTGCTCTCTGGAGGCTCTACAGGAGAATCCATTTCCTTGCCTTTTCCATCTTCTGGAGGTTGCCTGCATTTCTTGGTTTGTGGTTCATCTTCCATCTTCAAAGCCAGCAGCTGTATACCAAACCCAAATCTGTCACCATCAAGTCAATTCCAACTTACAGAAACCCCATGTGTTACAGAGTAGAAATGCTCCCTAGGGTTTTCTTGGTTGTAATCTTAGGGATGCAGATTGCCAGGCCTTCCACGGGGCCACTGCGGGGGTTAGAACTGCCAACCTTTAGGTTAGTTGCTGAGCACAAACCATTTGCGCCACTCAGGGAACTTAGCAGCAGTATACCCATTGCTGTTGAGTCGATTCCGACTAATAGTGACCCTATAGGTCAGAGTAGAACTGCCCCATTAGGTTTCCAAGGAGGAGCTGGTGGATTCGAACTGCTGACCTTGTGGTTAGCAGCCATGCTCTTAACCACTGCACCACCAGGACTCCTTAGCAGCAGTATAGCATCCTTTGATCTCTTTGTGTCCCTCTGCTTCCCTCATTATACCACGTTCTGTGTCTGTGACCTGCCTGCCTCCCTCTTACGAGAACCTTTGTGATTACATTAGGCCCATCTGGATAATCGAGGATCATCTCTCCGTCTCAAGATCCTTCGTTTAATCTCATCTGCAAAATCCCTTTTGCCATGTAAAGTAACATATTCACAGGTTCCAGGGATTAGGACATGACCATTTTGGGGGGCCATTATTCAGCCTAACACAGGGTGAGAAAGAGTAACATTGGATCATTCCAGCTGCTTAAGGAAATAGGAGAAGTCAGGAAGCTGAATCAGCATGGGGGAGGGCCACACATTCAACTCTGGGCCAGAGGAGAGGTCCAGGACAGCTCTGACCTACATTCTGCACGCCAAAGGTCCTGTGTCTGGGGTGGGTTCTAGCCAAGTCTGGGGTCCCCAGGGAACCACCTGGAACAGGAAGCAAGCCCAGAAGGCTAGGTTACTGAAGGGTCCATCTCCAACTAGGGTACGGCCCACACAAGTCCTGGGATCTCTGCTCCCATGTGAAATAAGAAGGGGTCAGACCAGATTTGACCTTCTGGGGTCCCTAAATTGGCAGGCTCTGCACCTGCAGATGGGAAGCTTTCAGACCTTAGCGCTTTGCTCCCCCTAAGCTCATAGAGGGCCGTGACTGCTATGCTCAGGGCAGTACCCTCTGCCAGGGGCAGTATGGTATGATGGTCAGGAGCATGGGCTCTGGCTTCAAAGTGCCATGGTTTGAATACATCACTAGCTGTGTGACTTGGGAAAATTAATCAACTTCACTGAGCCTCATTCTTCACATGGACAACATGGAGATGAAAATGACCACTGTAAGTACTTTGCAGAGCTGTTGTTAGGACTAAATGAGATCTCACACATAAAGGCTCTGCACATATAAGTGCTTAATAAATGTTGGCTAGGATCACAATTGGTAATTGTTGCTTTGTTCCAGCATTTGTGGCAATCTAGCGATATCATCATTTTCCCCAGAAAGCGACCTTGTGGTATTGATGTGTACTATTTGCCAGACACTGTTCTAGGCTCTGGGAATTCACAAAACAAAGCAGACAAGGCCCCTGTCCTTCTGGAGCTTGCTTACTTTCTAATGCGACACTGGATCCTAACAATCTTCATTTCTAGAAAGTTCTTGGCAGCTTTTTTTGAAATCTTCTAGTAGCTCTAGTTCTAGTTATGATCTCTGGATCTTGTGAACCATTCGATGCCACCCTTGGTAGAATAAGCCTTTGCAAGACAACCTTGGAAAGTCTATCTCTCCTCGCTTACCTCCCACCCTATGGATAAGTTCTCATCTCTGTTTCTCCTGGAAGACAGAGCCAGGTCTGTGGCCTCCGGGGAGTCCCCCTGCAGGTGGCTTCAGGGCTCCACTGGGAATAACCATACTCCTTTGGCTTCTCACCCCCTGCTGCATTCTGAGAGGCAACCCTTCACCTTAATTTCCAAGAAATTTTGAAATCTTTGTGCCCGGACTTCAACCCTGCCTGGGTTCAAAACTCTAGCTTAACCTCTCTGCTTCAGTTTCCTTTTGATTTGGTGGTGGAAGCTCAGAGAAGTGACCCTAGAAGAGGACTGGTCATTTCCAGAACTCTGACCTCCGATGGATGGACCCACTGCCCACCTTTACCTGCCAGGTTCTCCCAGGTTGTCTCCAAGCATCAGAGACTCCTAGACATGCATGGCTGTAAAGGAGACAGAGGCTTGGATTCACCACGGGATTTGGATGCCGGCTTTCTGCTTTACTCTGTGATTCTGAGCATGCCACTTCCTCCCCGAGCCTCAGTTTCCCCATCTGTAAAATGGGAGGGATCTACCTCATAGGACTGTTGTGGGCTGAACCAGGACAACAGTACACTCTCCAACGCTTCCTAGGTGCTCAAAAAGCAGACCCTGAGGTTTGGGGAGCAGGTGGCATTTTAGAGGCAGGCTCCCAGCACAGGGAAGGAAACTTTCAGGGGCCGGGGTCGGTAAGTCCTTGATGTTTGCCTATCAGTTCTTGCCCTGAGAAGCCAGCCCCCAACTCTCTGGAAGCTTCGAGATTCCTGAGGGTTTGGTTTGGGACTTGCGGTCACTGGGTGGGGGGGTCTGGAACGGGCAAAACCCAGGCCGGCAGCAGCTCAGAGATTTCCTGAAGAGGTTTTTTTTTTTTTTTTTTTTTCCCCAAACACATCCTGTGGCCTGGCCCGGCTTTGTTTTCTGAGAGTCATATGATCGTCTCTCCTAACCCGCTGGCCCGGGGCGGGACGGGCGCGGGCCCCGGGTGTTGCAACGTCTGGGCAGAAGGTGGGGATCAGCTGTTTGGGCCGCGGGCCACGTGACGCGCGCGGAGGATAAATCGGACGGCGCGCCTAGCCGGGACAGTCAGCGTTTGCTACCGCGTTAAGATCGTTACACGCGGCGGAGCGTGCACCGAGCGATCCGAGCGACCCGAAAGCCACCGGTCCGATGGAGCGTCCGCAGCCCGACAGGTAAGCGCCAGCGGGACGTGGCGGGGGAGGGGAGAGGCTCCCGTTCCTGGGGCCGGGGTGCCGGGTGCCTGTCTCTCCCGGCTTAGTTCTCATTTCTGTGTCTCTTTGGAGACAGAGCCACGTCTGTGGCCACCGGGGAGCTCGAAGCGACGAAGTTGAGGTGCTAAAAGCTTGGCCTTTGGAGTTGGGAGGGACTGGGTTCGAATCCCGCCCGTGCTATTTCCTAGCTGTGCTGGGGGGATACCTGGAGAGATAAAAGGTGATTTATTTATCTGGCACAGGGTGGGTGACTGTCTCATAGGGTGTGTCCCTATGGGGAGTGAGTATCCAGCTTTTGAGGTGTGTGGGGTAGAGGCGTTGAGAGGGTAACGAGCACGCAGAGGCAATCCCTGATTGTGCCCCCGCCCCCAATTTCAAGATGAATAGACCTTGGTAACGGTGACTTACCAGCAGAAACGTTTTCTTCTCTCTTGTCTGGCTGCCTCAGTCGGGCACTTTTCATACTTGTGGCGCCTTGAAATGATTTTCTGAGCCTTGTCTGGCGCTCCCTTGGACTTAGGACCCGGAGGCAAGTTCCTCCTTCTGCCCCCCTTCCTATGCCTCTGATGTGGGGAGGTGGTCACTGCTTGATCTAGGATTCCTGGGGGGCTACTGGGGAGCCCTGGTGGCACAGTAGTTAAGAGCTACGGGGAGCTAAAGGTCGGCAGTTCAAATCCATCAGTAGCTCCTTGGAAACCTTATGGGGTACTTCTACTCTGTCCTTTGGGGTCACTATGAGTCGGAATTGACTTGATGACAGTGGGTCTTTTGGGGCTATCGGAGCCCACGTAAGAAGTGCTTGGTTCTTACCCACCTCGTGTTTTTGTTTCTCAGCAGCTATGCCATGGTTGTTAAAACAAAATACGACAAAAACTAAACTTGTTGCTATCAAGTAGATTCTGACTCCTGGCGACCGTGTGCGTTACAGAGTAGAACTGCCTTGGCTGTGATCCTTATGGAAGCAGATCACCAGATCTTTCTTCTAAGGCCCTTCTGGGTGGGTTTGAACCAACAACCTTTTTAGGTTAGTCAAGGGCAAATTGTGCCAACCAGGGACACCACGGTTGTTAGCGTCCCCATTTTACAGTTCAAGGAGGCAACATGCTTGAGATTCCCCCAGCTAGCAAGTGGCAGACCTGGGATTTGAACTTCACCTCCAAGTCGTGCTCATTCTCTTCTCCCAAGCTGTGAAGAGTTAAGTCAGCAGGTATAGAACGGGATAATGTTGCTGTAAGGGGTGCTGGAGAGAAGGGAGAAGTTATGCTAACAATAATACCTGTTGCCCTCTAGATTTCAACCCCTAGCGACCCTATAAGACAGAGTAGAACTGCCCCATAGGGTTTCCAAGGAGTGGCTGGTGGATTCGAACTACCAACCTTTTGATTAGCAGCCAAATGCTTAGCCATTGTGCCATCAGGGCTCCCTAATAATAATAGAATATAATAATAGAAATAATTTCTAATAATAGAAATAGTTCTATGGAGGGGTGGCTATGGACACATGGCAAAAATACTCCCAGAAAGGGACTTTTTGTTTGAGTAAAGCAGAATTTCTCAATATTTTTAAGCCAAACACTTGTATGATGAGTATAACATTAAAAGGGGTTACAAGATTTGTGTCTGAAACATCAACAAAAGAAACAAACTAAATATTCAGTCTAAAAGCTTATCAACACAATTAAAATGTTGAATATGAATGTTCACACTGCCTACTCTTCTTCCCTGAGTTGTGCTCAACTTCCTCCTCTGCTCCATTGAGAATAACTGGGAACAGGGTTTTCCCCCTTGGTTTTGGGGGAATATATTATATATACTGTAATGACTGAAGAGTGTTGCCGTCTGCCTGTTACGACGGTCAGGAGTGTGGCCTGTGTGTTAGATTGGGAGGCTGAACTTACTTCTGCAGATACATCCTGATAGGAGTCCCTAGGGGGTGCAAACAGTTAATGTACTCACTGCTAACCCAAAGAGTGGTGGTTCAGGTTCACCCAGAGGCACCTTGGAAGAAAGCCCTGGCCATCTACTTCTGAAAACCCTATGAAGCACCTATGGGTTGTCATGAGTCAGAATTGACTCATTAGCAACTGGTTTACATTCTGATAAAGCCAAAGTCTTTGAAGGTGTGCAAGACAGGTGGGTGGCACCCTCAACAGCCCAGGGTTGGGAAGAACCCTGCCCACAGCCATCCCCTTGTTCACTTCTCTCCATTCCCTCCACAGCATGCCCCAGGATTTGTCAGAGGCCCTAAAGGAGGCCACCAAGGAGTTGCACACACAGGCAGAGAACGCCGAGTTCATGAAGAACTTTCAGAAGGGTCAGGTGACCCGAGAGAGCTTTAAGGTATGTAGCCTTGTGGGGCCGGCTCTGGAGGAGGGTGTAGCAGGTGTGGGTGTGTCCAAAGCTCAGATCCATGGTTTAAGTGGGGGTTGGGGCCAGAGATGCTGAGGGACCACATGGGCGTGTCCAAGAGGGTCATCTTACAGATGATGACACTGAGGCTCAGAGAGGGCAGGTGACTTACCTGAGGTCACATAGGAAGTTGACAGTCTGCTGTGCATGCTGTGGAGGGCCTGAGGCAGTAGAGCAACCAACTGAGCACCTATTCTGGGCTGGGCATTTGACGCATAGAATTTCTAAGTGGTGCCTCAACCCTGGTGAGAAAGACAAAGAAAGGAAGACTCAGAGAGGTTAAGTAACTAAGAGGAGGTCAGACAGCCAGTAAGTAAGTGGAAAAGGCTGGTGAAATCAACCCAAAGCCAATTTTTCAGCCTAGTTCTAACTCACCTCTGGAGGCAAGGAGTCTGGGCACGACCATTTCCTAACAGTGCGACTGTGAGCACATCACTTGGTCTCTGAGCCATCTCTTCCTCTGTGCAAAATGGAATTTCAACAGCAGAGTTTTCTTAAACACCCAGTTTGTGCTAGGTGCTGACTCTTGCTATTGCCCAGGATTGTAGTGGAAGTGCACTTGACAAAGAACCAGGTGGGTGTTGGTGTTAAAACAGGGTGGCCAAGGGCTTATTCGAGCTGTACAGAGAGTGTGGGAGCTGGGGAGCTGTTTCCCACCGCTGTTGACAGCTCCCCTGCTTTTGCAGTCTGAATGCTCTCCATAAGAAGATGATATATACCCAGCTGCTGTCATGTGGCTGAGGTGGGTGGAGGGAGCAACCTCTGGCGTATCCTGTCCCCGGTGGCTGTGGACTTTGGATCTTGCTTCTAAGCCATCAAGTTCAAAGTGGGCACAAAGATCTGTGACAGAACCCTGTGCCCAAGGGCAGGGACCTTAGATTATGCTGATGGAGGAGGCATTTAGTATGGCCTCTCTGACTTGACTGCTGAGTGCTGGGCTGTGCCCAGTTCTCACCTGTGTCATTTCGCTGGGCCTCACAGCAGCCCCGTTCAGCATGTGATCTGATTATGCCTTTTTGCAGGGGAGGGGACCAAGGCTTGACTTGCAGAGAGTCACACAGATCTCAGAGCATCTTATATGCTGTAGAGCAGGGAAGTTGGGACCAGAACGGGCAAACGGCTCACCTATGGTAACACAGCTGAGGATCAGCTGAGCCGAGGCTAGAACCAGGTCTGTCAGACTTGAAAGCCCAGGCTGCCTGGCTTTCTGCCCTATCAAGGAATGGGGTCACTGTGAATGTTTATGTCTTGGAAATAACTCAGAAATCTTGACCAAAACGTCTCGACTTTGTGCTCCTTCAAACTCAAACTAGAGCTGTTAGTGTGTAACAGGAGTCTCTGAGCCAAGGTGCTCCAGGGCCCACTCCCTGAGCCCAGCGTTCAGGAGTGGTTGGGTTCAGAGCGCACCTTCAGGAAGGAGAATCGTGCCTTGCAGATGCTCACTCAGAGATCAAAGGTCAAATGCGCTCAGACTGGCTTCTCTAAACGCTGTCCTGCAGGCACGCCTGTGCTCCAGGACAGTGCTAGGTCCCTAGCAACACTTGGGCTTGACTCCTGTTTCTTACAAGCTGTGCAACCTCAAAGTCTCACAACATCTCTGAGCCTTAGTTTCCGTTTCTGCAAAATGGGAATAGCAACTCCTTTCTGGGGTTTTATGTTGAAGTTAGGCTGCATGTTTCACCCCATGACTAAAAAGGCTTTAGGCTGAGAAAGTGCCTGATAGGGTTTTTCTCTTGTGACAATTCTCTCTGGCTGTTGTATGAAGAAGATCGGAGGGGCCATCAGGAAGTTGGGAGCCCAGCATGGGTGGGGGTGATGAGGGCCTCTCTCAAGTGAAGGGCTGGTCTGACCTGCTCGCTCTGGCTTCAGCTGGTGATGGCCTCTCTGTACCACATCTACGTGGCCTTGGAGGAGGAGATCGAGCGCAACAAGGAGAACGCAGTGTATGCGCCCCTCTACTTCCCAGAAGAGCTGCACCGCAGAGCTGCCCTGGAGGAGGACATGGCCTTCTGGTATGGGCCCGACTGGCAGGAGGCCATCCCCTACACAGCAGCCACTCGGAGCTACGTGAGGCGGCTCCATGAGGTGGGGTGCATGGAGCCCGAGCTGCTGGTGGCCCATGCGTATACCCGCTACCTAGGCGACCTGTCTGGGGGCCAGGTCCTCAAGAAGATCGCGCAGAAGGCCCTGGACCTGCCCAGCTCTGGTGAAGGCCTGGCCTTCTTCACCTTCCCCAACATTGCCAGCGCTACCAAGTTCAAGCAGCTCTACCGTGCCCGCATGAACACGCTGGAGATGAGCCCCAAGGTCAGGCAGAGGGCTATCGAAGAGGCCAAGACTGCCTTCCTGCTCAATATTCAGGTGAGGGTCTGGCAGCCCAGGGCGGCTACCACCTCCCCCAGCTACCGCTCCCTCCAAGGGCAACTTCTTTTGTTGTGAGGGAGGTGCCGTGGGTCCTGTTAAAAGTGCAGGGACTCTGGATCCAGGGTTCCAGTTCTGCCACTTACTAGCTGGGTGATCTTGGGCAAGTCCCTTCATCTGTCTGTACCTCACTTTCCCCATCTGTGAAATAGGAATAATAATGTTGTTGTTGTTAGGTGCCATCGAGTTGATTCTGACTCATAGTGACCCCATGTGACAGAGTAGAACTGCCCTATAGGGTTCCTAGGTGTAGTCTTTATGGTTTTATGGGAACAGATCGCCAGGTCTTTTCTCCTGCAGAGTGGCTGGTGGGTTCAAACTGCCAATCTTTAGGTTATCAGCCCAGTGCTTAACCATCGAGCCACCAAGGCTCCTTAGGAATAATAATAGTACCTACCTTTTAGAGTTGTTTGTGAGGATTATACCAGTAAAGTCCCTATAACAGTGGCTGGCACAGAATAAATCTTATATATTAGCTGCTATTATTACGGGGCATGAGGATCACAGTTGTAGTGCTCTGTGATACACATACCCAAAACAAAACCGTTGCCGTCAAGTCAACTCCAATTTATGGCAACCCCATGTGTGTCAGGGTAGAATTGTGGCTGATTTTTCAGAAGTAGATCTCCAGGCCTTTCTTCTGAGACATCTCTGGGTAGACTCAAACTGCCAACCTTGTAGTTGGCAGCTGAGTGCATTAAGCATTTGTACCACCCAGAGACCACATACAATCTGTTGTCATGGAGTCAATTCTGACTCATAGTGATCCTGTGGGACAGAGTAGAACTGCCTCATAGGTTTTCCAAGGCTGCAGATCTTTGTGGAAGCAGACTGCCACATCTTTATCCCGTGGAGCGGCTGGTGGGTTCAAACTGCTGACCTTTCAGTTAGCAGCTGAGTGCTTAAGCAGTGTGCCACCAGGGCTCCATGACTTCACATACACCCACATGTAAATTATGTACGGGCTTGTGTGTAGCCACATAGGTACTGCAGGGATTATGGTGATGGAGACGTGACCTCTGACTACTGAGTACTCTCAGCCCAGCCAAGGAGGCAGGTCTTTTCTACAAGTGTCTCAAATCCAGGGAGAAGGTGAGGTTATAAAGCCTGAAGGATAAGTTCTTGGGCAGAGCTAGGGTGTGGTGTTCCTGCTAACCCAGATGTTGTAGGATCCTACAGGCACTGTGGGGATTGAGGCTCCTAGCTCATGCCCTCCTCACTTCCTGTTCCCCAGCCTTGGGTCACAGAAGAGACTGGTCTTGGTGCCTATTAGGAAAGAGTGTCTTTCCCTTGAATCCCTCCCCCTTACCCCCCCGCAACAAAAAATCCAGTCAATCTTGGAAGAAAACCGATATCTTTCACAAAGGTGTAATAGAAAGAATAGGGGATTTGGAGAAAGAACTCCCATCTGAGAGCTGGCTTTGAACATGACCTACAGTTAGCCTCAGACAAGGCACTCAGCCTCCTAGAGCTGCAGTTTCTCATCTGCAAACCCAGGCTAATAAATACTGGTAAACACACCTTAACCAAGGATGAATCTCCCAAAGTTGAGTGAAGAAAGCAGGCTTCAGGAGAATACAGATACTAGAATAAAACCAGTTGCTATGGAGTTGATTCCGACTCAGGGTGATCCTATTATGTCACAGTAGAACCATGTGGTCCACAGGGTTTTCAATGGCTGTGACCTTTTGGAAGTAGATCTCCAAGCCTTTGTTCTGAGGTGTCTCTGCGTGGACTTGAACCGCCAACCTTTCGGTTACCAGCCCAGCACTTAACCGTTTGTGCCACCCAACCAAACCAGACCCACTGCTGTCAAGTCAATTCCAACTCATACCACCTGGAGACTCCATATATTAGGACATTCTTTATATATTGTTTCAAAATAAGCAAAACAATGCTTTGTATAGGGACACCAGATAAGGGAACCGAACGGCTACAGTCATTCTAAATTCAGGATACTTGTTGGAGGTGTGGGAGGCATTTGGGAGAAGAGCATGCAGAGAAGTCAACTGTATTTGTAACATTTTATCTCTTACACAGAATGAAAGGTAAATGAATGTTCAATATTTTTCTTTAAATTTTGTTATGCCCCAAATACTTCATAATGAAACTTAAAATTCTGTTAAATCACAACCACTCTGACAAGGATCACAACAGAGAGTCCCAGACAGAGCGGGGGGAAAAAAATGTAGAACATACTTTAAATTCACAAAAAAAAGACCAGGCTTACCGGTCTGACAGAGACTGGAAGAACCCCTGAGACTATGGCCCCTGGACACTCATTTCACTCAGAACTGAAGCCACTCCTGAAGTTCACCCTTCAACCAAAGATTAGACAGGCCCAAAAAACAAAACAGTAACACACGTGAGGAATGTGCTTCTTCGTTCAGTCACGTATAACAGACCAAAAGGGCAACACCTGCTCAAAAGCATGAGGAGAAGGCAGGAAGGAACAGGAAAACGGGGAATTGGTGTGTGGAAGGGGAGAGTGTTGACACATCGCGGATATTACAACCAAAGTCACGATACGATTTGTGTATATACATTGTTGAATGAGAGATTAATTTGCTCTGTCAAGTGTCATCTAAAGTACAATAATTTAAAAAATCCTGCTATCAGCGGGGGCCTGCCGCTATCTCTCACTGAGACGGGCGTATATGTCTTTTGTCTTTTAGCTGTTTGAGGAGTTGCAGGGGCTGCTGACCCAGGACACCGCAGGCCAGAGCTCCTCCACCACACCAAGGCTTCGCAGGCAGGAAGGCGGCGGGGTGCAAGGTGAGGGCCTCGGGAAAGGGCGTTTCCTCTGGGCTCCTGGTGGAGGGGGACATGGCCCCATTGTCTGCCTCTGGGGTCTCCTTTACTCTGTCTTTTGAATGTTTCAAAATGAGTGGCTGGATGCAGGTGAAAGGGCATGGAGGGGTCAACTTGATTTCAGTGTGTGATTCTAGGCAAACCATGTAACCTCTCCATACCTTAGTTGCTCTACCTTTAAAATCAAGGGAGGTTGCGCTAGTTCCAGAGAGTTCCTTGACTTGGGGATAAGGACTTACATGCAAAGGACCCTCGAAAGTCATGGGCCAAGCTCCCCTGATCTTAACATAGGCCTCTAATGGTTCCTGAACAGGCTACCTGATGTGGGGCAGGGAGTTGGGGACCCATCTCCAGCTATTAACCCACCATGGGACAATGGCCAAGACACGTGACCTCATGGTCTTGTTGCATGTTAGTACCTCCTTCACATGCCTCAAAGAGCTTTGGAGGCTGTTTCTGTGCGGAGAGAGTATCTGGGCAACTTTTCAGAAGACCAAAGTACTCCACAAAATGTACCCCCATCTTTACACTCATGTAGGGTGTGTGGCTTTGGGCGTGGGTGGAGCAGAGAGGTGAAGTTCCCCTGGCTACTCAACAGGTTGCTTTGTCTTTCCTCCTAGAGCCCATCCTAGCCCACCTAGCCCTGGAGCTTTCTCACCTGGGGCAGGACCACGTGGACCCCTCTGTTGGTGGGATCATCCCTGGGAGGGTTGGAATGTGGCCACGCCTGATGAGACTGGCTACCTGGTGGGGTGAGGGGACTTCGCCCTAACGCAGAGGTTCTCAAAGTGTGGTCCAAGTACTCTGGAGACTCCAGAGACTTTTTTAGGAGGTCCCTGAGGTCAAAGCTATTTTTGACAATAATACTAGTACTTTTTTTTCCCCCTTTTTTACTCTTTTTCTCATCAGTGTGCGTTGGAGTTTTCCAGAAGTTATGTGATGTGTGATGACATCATTGCTCTAACGGCCTAGGGAATGTGTGCCTGTGTATTCGTGTGTGTTAACAGTTTCTCAGTTTTAACTTCTAGTATGGTAAACAGCGATAAAGGAGCTCTGGTGGTGCAATGGTTAAGTGCTCGCTTGCTAAGTGATAGGTTGGCCTTTTGAACCCCCCAGCAGCCCCATGGGAGAAAAGACTTGGCAACCTGCTCCCATAAAGATTACAGCCTACGAAACCCTATGAGGCAGTTCTACTCTGTCACACAGGGTCGCTATGGGTCAAGATCGACTCAGCGACACACAGCAACACGTAGCGATAGCAAAAACTCAGACACAAAAGCTCTTTGGGGTCCTCGGTAACTTTTAAGAGTGTAAAGGGATCCAGAAACCAAAAAGCGTGAGAATTGCTGCTTGAATGCATCCAAGGGAACCTTTAGCACAATCACAATGTAAAAATGTTGAGGGACACCCACTTGCCTGTTTTCCCCGTGACTGTGACCCCGAGCCACCAAGCCAGAGGCCCCACTTTCTGCTAGGAAGCCTCTCATAGATTTTGATTTCACTTTTTCTCTTAGTGCTGCCCAAGGGGGAGCTGGGATTCAGACTCAGCTGGTCTGGCTGTAGAGGCCTGCCCTTGATCGCTGTCTGGCCTGCTTCTTAACACCTAGAGAACATTCACTTGTGTGCAAGCAGGTGGTAGATGGTCGGCCCACTCAGGATGCAGGGCTGTGAATGGATGGGAATGGGACTGAATTTGAATTTTGACCTCAGAGATCTCCACTTCTAACTCCTGCCCCCATGTAGCCTCTGCCCATCACCGCCATCCTTTGCAAGTGTGCAGGAATCTGAGATGAGGAGGTACAGCTCAGATCTAATCCCCAGTGAAGCTTGAGGAGGGCCTTCCTCATGGCAGACAGGGGTCTAAAAACGTTCCTGGGGCCCCAGAACTTTCTCACAATGTGGCCTGGCTAAAAACGGAATAATAAGCAGCTTGAAGAAGCAGTAAGCTTCCCATCTGTGGAGGTATTCAAGCAGTGACTAAGAAGGTCACTTATTTGTGCCCTGGCAGAATTCTGGCATTTGAGCAGCGATTGTACTAGAGGCTGCTGAGGTCCCTCTGCTTCCCAATGACATCAGACACTGTCATCCCATCCACCTGTTGTTGACACAGCTCCTCTTTTCTCTTTCAGAGTCCACTCCCACCAAGACACCCAGAGGGAAGCCCCAGCTGAACATCGCGTCCCAGTCTCTGCTCCTCCGATGGGTCCTTACGTTCAGCTTTCTGGTGGCAACGGTGGCGGTGGGGCTATATGCCATCTGAAAGCAAGCTTGCTGGCACCTGGGGCCATGAACTCTATCCAGCAGAGGGCCCTCTTTCTGGAGAGGGAAAATCTCATGGCTGGCTTCTCTACCTTGGGCATGGAGGGCTGTTCCGAGGCCCCGCCCTCTCCCTGTGGCCTTCTATGTCTTCGAAGGAGGAAGGAGTCCTTTGGCATCTTCCTCATCCAAAAAGCACATCCAGCCCTGTGACTGAAACCGCCAAAGTGGCTGAGGGGCCCCGCCCCGCCTTGCCCCGCCCCTCAGCATCCCTGTTCCTGCAGCAGAGCCTAGAGAACGCAGCCAGGAGTGGCGACTGTCCAGACCCTCCAAACACCCCAGGTTCGAGGTCTCCTTGACACGGCCGTGACCGCTTCCTTTGGGACATGGCGATTCTTATATAAACGTGTGAAGATGTTGTGTTTTGTGTTTCTGTCCTGTTTTTGTTGGAGCCACTTTTTGTTTCTGGCTCTGCCTAAACTGTGGTATTTTGTTGTGTCCTGTTATGTTTTTATAGCAGGGTTGGGGGTGGGGAGGGAGGTGTTTTTAACAGCACCGTGGCCTTGGTCCCTGACTTGTATGTGAAACAATAAACTGCATTGCCTGACAGCAGTTTGAAGTGTTTTTTTTGGCTCGGTTGGGAATTGACATTTTCCTCACTTGTTTCTTGAGTGCCTGGTGGGGAGCCAGGGTGGCAGGAGCTGGTTTCCAATATTGTACCCCATTTTGAGAAGGGGGGCAGCTTTAGGCAGTTGTGGGGTGGTGAATCACGGTGTTGAACCCTTCTTGGTGTGAGACTTGCCTTTACTGAGAATGGGGCAGCCCTGTTATCTGGGGTAACATGTATGAGATCTGTGTACTGAATCTTAAGGACTGGAGGGAGGTCCTGGGTTCAAATCTCTGCTACTCTACTTTGTAGGTCTGACGCTGAGGTTAGTCCTTCAGCCTCTCGGGCTCAGTTTTATCACCCATAATGTAAATACAGTAGTATCTTACCTCATTAGTCTGTCTTGGGGATCAGTCCCTGGAGAAGGGCATCATGCTTGGTAGAGGGTCAGCGAGAAAGAGGAAGACCCTCGATGAGATGGATTGACACAGTGGGTGCAACTATGGGCTCAAGCATAACAGCGATCATGAGCATGGCGCAGGACCGGGCAGTGTTTTGTTCTGTTTCACACAGGGTTGCTATGAGTTGGAACCAACTTGACGACACCCAACAACAACAACAAGCTTGTCTTGAGAAGCAAACGAGATGCCTGTTTCCTATTAACAAAAGAGGGGAAACCAATGTCTCACGATTCTTGCTAAGTTGTTCTTGCCCAGTCTGAGTCACTTTACCTTTGACTGTAATCTTACAGCAACCTGTGAGGAGCTGTTACCAGTATCGGGAAGAATTTAAAGCAGGTCTGACCAGCTCTAAGGAGTCCGTGGGTGCTGCAAACAGTTAAGTGCTCAGCTGCTAACCAAAAGGCTGGAGGTTCAGGTCCACCCAGGGGTGCCTCAAAAGAAAGGCCTGAAAGATCTACTTCTGAAAAATCGTTCATGGAAAACTCTAGAGCACAGCTCTACTCTGACACACGTGGGTGCCATGAGTCAGAACTGACTCCACAGCAAGTGGCTGGTTGGTAGCTCCAGTTTAAAAACTGAAGCCCTTCTCCCTGCCCTACTGTTCAAACCCAGGAAAGTGAAACCCCTTCACTGAGGGTGCACTGGATGGAGCAGGGGACAAGGGCCTTATAGGACCTGTACATGAAGTCTGGAGTCAGGGGACTTTAGTCCAGTGGCATCACTAGGGTTGGTGTCAGTCAGCGTGTGGTAACTCATGGTGTCACCCCCCCCCCACCCCAAGGTGGGCAGGGACTGCAGGCAGAAGGACACCGCCCACCCATCCCCCGCCTCGTGGGTGGAGTGGTCCGGCTCTGCCCCCGCACTCCTGTGGCTCCCATAGCTCCTGCACCCTGACTGGCGGGTGGGGGTGTGGCGGAGGTGGGGGTGGTGGGGTTGGTGTTAAGACGAGTCTCACAAGACAGTCCTACTCTGTCTCTGCCCTGTTTCCTGAAGTTGTTTTCTTTGCAGAAACTTCCCTAAACTAGGTGACAAAAGAAACAGCCACCTGCTAGCCAGAATCAGCTGAAGCAGGTCCTGCCTTCCATCTTGGCACTCCAGATGACCTTTAACTCATTAACTGCTTCATGTATGGTAAATTCTCCACCCCTGGGTGGAGAGCTAACATGCTAATGAACAAAAATGGCTAACTTCCTCCCGCGAGGGGAATCGAACCTGGGTCTTAGAAAAAGGCTACTCATTCTAAAACACTCTGCGCCTTCGCAAGTGCCATTTTGTATTCTGAAACTGATCCTACCTGTATAAACCAGCCTCAACAAGCTGCCTGCCAGGCAGTTTTGGAAGGCACTTAGCTCCAACTGTCTTCTTGCTTGGCCAGCCAATAAAGTTGCCTTTTGTTCTCCCCAACTTGGTCTCTGTCTTTTTGGCCCTGATGGAGTCATGCCAAGCAGAACCCAGAGTTCCCGGCAACAGTAGGGGTGGTGACGAGGTACCACACTGGGTAACACTAACCCTAGTGACTGGCGGGTGATGGGGAGAAGGGCAGGTGATGACAAGTTATTGCACTGGGTGACAGATGACACCAACCCTAGTGACACCACTGCCTTCTGCCACCGCTGGCCTGCCTACCGCCACTGCCGCTGCCACTGCAGTGGACCCTGGGGTCATTTTGGTGTCACCCCCTCTGATAGTGTCGGGGGTGCAGCCCACACACCCCTCCCCCGCCTGCACCCCCCTAGTGATGCCGCTGGTTTAGTCAGTAGTCCTGACTTCGTCGCTAAGTCTGTGACCTTGGACAAGTCACTTCAAGTGTCATTTTGTTCACTGGTAGAATAGGAACAACACACCCAGTTACCACAGCTGGTGGGAGGGTAGGTGGTGTCCAAACTCGTCAGTGGGCGGTGGCATCAAAATCACCTGGGGACTCTCAACCACAGAAGCCAGGGCGCACCTTGAGAGGCTCCGATTCTGGAGACCTGGGGTGGGACTCTGGAATTTCTGTTTATGAAAACTTCCCTGGGAGATTCCAATGTGCCACCAGGTCCAGGAGCCACTGCTGAGATTCTGTATTCAAAGGTTAAGGAGCCCTGGTGGTGCAACAGATAAGTGCTTAACTGCTAACCCAAAAGTTGGCTGTTCGAACTCATCTAGTGGCTCCATGGGAGAAAGGCCTGGCAATCTGCTCCCGTAAAGATTACAGTCTAGAAAACCCTATGGGGCAGTTCTACTCTGTCACATGAGGTTGCCATGAGGGCACCTAACAACAACATGCCAAGGTTAGGCGTTCAAATTGCAGCTGTAGCACTCATCTCCTGGACTCGTTTTCCTCAAAGGGGCGTAGATGTTGTTTGCAGTGGCAAAGGAAGGAGAGAAGGAAGGAACGGAAGGAGGAGGGAGTAGAGAAGAAAAGAAAGAAAGATGGAAGAAAGGAAGGAAGGGAACCCACCTCAAATTCTGATTGGAGAAGGGCTGAATAATTTGTGGTCTGTCCTCACTATTGGGGCCCTGGTGGAGCAGTGGTCAAGTGTTTGGCTGCTAACCAAAAGGTCAGCAGTTTAAATCCACCATCGCTCCTTGCAAACCGTATGGGGGCAGTTCTATTCTGTTCTGTAGGGTCGCTATGAGTCGGAATTGGCTTGATGACAATGGGTTGTTTTTGGTATCCTCACTGTGGAAAATTAAGTACCTATTACAAAGAGTGAGTGAAATCTACATCTACTGACCTGGAGGAACATCCATAAAATAATGAGAAGAGCAAGTTCTAGATTAATAAATTACCCTTTTTTATTAAAATGTTCCCTGTATATGTAAATACACATTTGTGTGAATGAGGTAAAAGGAGTGAAGGGCTCTGTTCCAGTTGTTCATGTTGAGGGGTGGGACTGGAGAGGAGTGGATGGGAAATGATGCACTTCTGTTTAATAAGAATAACCGCAAGCAACCCTATGCACCGGACACTGCTGGAATTCACTATCACTATCTCCATCTTCCAATCATTAGAATAGGACATGTTTGGTAAAGCAGAGGGTCACTGAAAAGGAGGGAAACGCTCCATGAAGTGGATTAACACAATAGCCATAACAATGGACTCAAACATACAAACAATCATGAAGATGGCACAGAACCTGGAACCGTTTTGTGCTGTTATACACAGGTCACCATGAATTGGAGCTGACTCAAAGGCAACTAACAAAAACAATCTCCATTTTACAGATGAAGAAACAAACACCAAGAGTTCAAAGTAACTTGCTCAAGGTCACATAACTCAAAGGGGGCAGAGTTGACATATGAGCCTGTAATTAAAGATCTTAATACTACTTAAGAAGGCAATACAATAAAATGGTTGTGGGAAGGGTTGGTGGGTAAAGAGGCATTTCTAATTTATATGGATTTCTGGGCACAGAACCAGCCCCAAAGGGCATTGTTCAGTTATACAGCTTTCCATCGACCTCAGAGAAGTCACGATTCTGAGGCTAGCCTGGGAAGCACTCAGGTTGTGGGCAGGGGCCCAGAATGAGTTCTCTAAATCTTGGGGCCAAAGAAACTCTGCCCCTCAGTTCTGGCAGCCAGAAACAGTTCTCTGAGTCTCTGACACAGCTTGGGGTAGATCCTGTTAACAGGGGCATGCTCACCCTTTCTGACAAAGAGGCAGGACAAAGCAGCTCCACAAAGTGCACAAGAGGTGGCAAGACTGGGTTGACAGGCTTAGCCCAGCCACTGGCTGCTGGGTCACATCTCTTCAAGCTTTGGGTATGACTTTTTCTTCAGTTTGTCAGCAACAGGCACACATTAACCTAGGATGAGGCAGACACAAAGCTGTCACTCAACATTTTATAAAGCTTAGGATGGGGCAGCAGCAAGCACAGAGCCAAGAGGTTGGAAGAATGGGGTTCTAATTCTGGCTTTGAACACCAACTCATTCTGCCATTTTCAGCTGACCTCTCTGTGCTTTATCCCCATTTGCATAATTCTCCATGGGTTTTTTTTGGTTGTAATGTTTAAGGTGGCAGATCGCCAGGCCTTTCCTTTCCAGTGCTTCTGGGTGGGTTCGAAATTGCCAGCGTTTTGGTTAGTGTTGTTGTTGGGTGCCACTGAGTTGATTTTGTCTATTCCAACTCATAGTGACCCCATATGAGTAGAGTACAACTGTTGCATAGAGCTTTCTAGGCTGTAATATTTACAGAAGCAGATCGCCAGGTCTTTCTTCTGTAGAGCAGCTGGGTGGGTTCTAATGGCCACCTTGTTAGCAGCTGAGTGCTTAGCCATTGCACCACCTGTGCTCCTTTTTGATTGTCGTTATGTGCCGTCGAGTTGGTTCTGACTCATAACGACCCTATGTACAACAGAACGAAACACTGCCCAGTCCTGTGCCATCCTCACAATCATTCTTATGTTTGAGCCCATTGTTGCAGCCACTGTGTCAATCCATCTCGTTGAAGGTCTTCCTCTTTTTCACTGACCCTCTGCTTTTCCAAGC